CGATTCGCTTTCCGTTACTCGCATTGAGAGTGCTCAGTATTTCCCATCATTTAGGGAAATAAGTAATTCCACAAGGTCAAAGAACGGGTGGCATGAAGCATAATAATGAGCGGCTCAACAACACCGTTTACCGTCAAACCCACTTTTCGGCATACACACTTCACCCATCCACAAAATCATTCCCGGTTAATTGAGCTGAGCTACCCCGGTAGATTCTGCTCTCGTGTTTGGGAAAATGCGCACATTACTTTCGCACGCCGACCATCCAGCCGATCATTTTGCTGCTGTTCTTGTGTTCCAGTTGTGGATGCTATTGCTCTTATTTATGCTGGTGTTCTTGATGTTGCTTAGGTTGGTGCTGCCGCCCAGTAGTGCCTTCCGCTTTTACTTGTTGTTTCTGTTGTTGTCAAGGTTTGGTCAGACCAAGTATATCGGCCTGACACTGTTCCGCCTGTGAAAGGGGAAAACAAGAGGGTGAGAACGTTTGCTTGTGGACCGTTGGACAGGCGGTCCCATATAGACAGGAAGATGGTTGAGCGACCGTCGAGCCCTACCGGTCCAGTCTGTACAGAGTCGGGTACGGGTGGGCAATTCATCACTGTCTATACCACTAATCACAATTGCCCGAGCATCCGTTTATGTATGTCCGACTTTTCGTACTGTGGCTTTCGATCTGAACGAACGTCTGCAATGATGTTTGTCTGTCAGTGTGTATATGCTACGCGGCTGAACGGCGGTAGGGTGGGAATTCCAGAATACTTTTGCGTTACTGCGAGCTCATTGGGTGGACACCGATTTGTACGCACTCACGCACGCACGCACTCACACACATACACACAGAACAGGATGCGGTCTTAAAAGCGCATAGGTGTACATCAAGGGAATCTGCCCAAAAACTCCTGGGTTTAGCATTCATCTATCTACTTTGTCATGAATGTTTCCTGATTGCTACACAGCTACGCCGACCTTTATGATGCCGTTGGCAGTGTGCTCTCCTATCAGTGTGGTGATGATCGCGACATTGTTTTGTTGAACCGGGTATCTTGACTACCTTGTGTGTGTGTGTATGTGTGTGCGCGCGTGCATTTGTATACGTGCATTTGCATACTGAGAGGCCTCCAGGGAAACAGTTACTAGAATCTACGAGTCGTACCCATCGGTATCTTCTGTGTGTAATACTTCTACCACCGTTTCAGCTACATTCTCACTCGTACACTCATCCCACTCCACCTCAATCCCCCTTACCTCCCAATTCAGCCCTGGGAAGTCAGTGTCTGTTTCACCTTACATAGCGCTTCACGTACACACAAACACATAGGCATGGTACCAACACACATACATGACAGTTGTAGTTGGCCTCGGTTCTTGATGAATACAAATCCTGACATCGTAATCCATTGAATCACTTCAAGTAGATACAGTTTTGTGTGCTTTGCCACCGCTTAATTACTTATATTCCTGGAGCGGCTTCCACAACAGCAGTTGTTTCATTGCACCCATATATCAGTCAAATCAGATGCTTCTGTGCTTTCAAATATGTCATCAGACTGGCGACTGAACTCATGGACACTGCCAGGGTCGTCGAGGAGGATGGGGAAATAGGCGAATTATAATTATCTATCAATTGATCATTAACTTCGTGTTTGCTCATTCAGGGACCATGCAGCTCCTGGAAAATCCCAACGCCAATTCTAAATTTATTTGATCGGTTAAAAGAAAAGGCATTCATAGACAAACAGGCCTGGGTGGAGCAATGCTTCTTACACGTCGGGTGGCAAAATTAAAAAAATACGATCGGACGATTTCGTTTCATCTCCCAGAACACTCGGTTGAAAAAAACTATGCAACACATCGGAAACTGTCAGCATTAGTTTAAACAAACCTTATGAAACATTTCAACAATCAGTTTAGTTCTTGCCAATCTCCGGTTGTTACAGTCACGAAATTCGTTTTCGCGGAGAGGAGAATTCTCATGTGTCATTGGCTTTATTTATTCGGCAACATTAACATCCTTGATATAAACACTAAAAACCATCTCAACCAGTGATCAAACCTATGTGCCCAATCGGAGGAACCGTTATGACCTCAATCTATTATCCAATGTAATCGAGTATCTGTATTTT